CGCTGGTCGCGGTACTTGTTGAGGTTGACGAGGAGGATGCGCAGGATCACCCGGGCGCCGCACTCACCGCATAGCGAGCCTCCATCTAAAACCAGAGGAACTTGAACCAGGGCGTGACGAGCTCGCTGTCCGTGCGCTCCTTGCCCTTCTCACCGCTCACGAACCCCAGCATCAGGTCCTCGGGGCTCTTCTCCGCCTCCAGGTCCGCCGATTCCCCCCGTTCTCTCCGCCAACCCCCCCACTCCCCCACTCTCACCACCCCTTCAAGAAAAACCAGTACCGGGCACCGCACTCACCGCAAAGAGAGCCTCCATCTTGCAGTTGTTCCTCAGCACCTCCCAGAGGAACTTGAACCAGGGCGTGACGAGCTCGCTGGCCGTGCGCTCCTTGCCCTTCTCGCCGCTCCTTGCCTTCTCCCCTCTCGCGAACCCGGTCACTCACCGCATAGAGAGCCTCCATCTTGCAGTTATTCCTCAGCACGTCCAGCACGGTGCGGTAGGCCTCCCAGAGGAACTTGAACCAGGGCGTGACGAGCTCGCTGTCCGTGCGCTCCTTGCCCTTCTCGCCGCTCACGAACCCCAGCATCAGGTCCTCCGGGCTCTTCTCCGCCTCCAGATCCGCCACCTCCCCCAAGGCGGCTTCCGCCGCCGCCGCCTCCACCTGCGCCTGCGCCTGCTCCGCCTTCTCCGTGGCGAGCTTGAGGAAATACTTCACCACCTCCTCGAGCGATTGCACGTTCACCTGGAGAGAGCGGGGCGGAAGGGGGTGAGGGTGGGGGGGAAAGGGAGGAAGGGGAGGAGAGGGAGGAGAGGGAGGAGGAGGGAAGGCATGTGCCTCATTTTAAAAGCGTTCAGTGCAGTAGGCAAGCTAAAAATCGCAAAACCACTGCAAGCTGAGAAGCTTAGATACACTCACAGTCCCATACAGTCACACGCACCTGCTGGCAGGCGATGCGGTACTGGATGAGGCCGTCCTTGGCAAGGCGACCCTTGCGCATGTCGACGCACAGCTCCACGTACTTGAGCATGATGCGCTCCAACGGCTTCTAATTCCCTCATACAGTCACACTTCAATACAGCCACACTCGCATACAGGCACACGCACCTGCTGGCAGGCGATGCGGTACTGGATGAGGCCGTCCTTGGCAAAGCGGCCCTTGCGCATGTCGACGCACAGCTCCACGTACTTGAGCATGATACGCTCCAACGGCTTCTAATTGCCTCATACAGTCACACTTCAATACAGCCACACTCGCATACAGGCACACGCACCTGCTGGCAAGCGATGCGGTACTGGATGAGGCCGTCCTTGGCGAAGCGCCCCTTGCGCATGTCCACGCACAGCTCCACGTACTTAAGCATGATGCGCTCCAACGGCTTCTGCCATGTGCGGTACCGCTTCGACGTGATCAGATCGTGCAGGGACTGCAGGGCTGCGGCCTTCTGCCCCACGTTCATCAGCTCTGATTGGAGTATAAGGGGAGGAGTGGTAGAAGGGGGAAATTGATTTTTTTTTTTCTCGTTACAAAGGGGCTCGCGACGATCCAGCGGTTCTGCTACGGGCGATGAGCCTTGGATGTGAGAATGTAACGTGAGCAACTACTTGACTAAACTACAGCGACTCCTTGTGGGATATTCAAAGAATCAATATATTGGTGAGTATATCCATACACTAGAATGCAGCGATCGTGTTGACCCTAAGGCGGAGTTAACACTGGGCTGAGTTGAACCTAAGCGGAGCTAACCCTAGGCTGAATTGACCCTGGGCTGCGTTAACCCTAGGCTGAGTTGATGCGGAACAAGCTAACCCTAGACGTTTACCCTTGACTGCGCTGAGCTTAGGCTGAGTTAACCCTAGGCTGAGATGACCCTGTACTGGATTGGCCCTAGGCTGAATAATCAAATTGATAGCAATTTTCATCCACCGCGGTCCCGCCTGTTCCTTTCGATGTGCACTTCGCAAATCTCTATTGACGACTCAGGCGCCAGCACGAAAAGGCCGTCAACGATAACGCTGATTTAGTAGCTCAATCAGTACTACGTCACCTAACGTCTCTCGACTGGATCCACGCGTCAGAAACAAGTTAGTAAACAGAAACAAGTTAGTAAACTTTGAAATGCTACCCCGTCCACGAAACGCTAACTAAAGCAAAACTTCCTCGCGAAGGGTTATCCGTCATGTCGCTACCAAGAGATGGCATCGCGTAGCAACGAAGGCTCTACGCGATACAAATGAATCTCGCGAATTAACAGATTAACTAAGATCCAACATGACAGGGTCGATCATATGCTGGTTGCCGATGCTGCTCACTAACGATCTTGAATCGTGCGTAGACTAAACGACATGGCGTATCACGCTAAAGTAATGACACAGACATGTAACGTGCCTGACGATCCCTATATTTTGTTCATGCGGCAACATTAACGCCCGCTTCTGATACTGATCAAGTGACTAGCAGCAAGTGGAGGTTCCTAGAGCAGAGAGACGTTGCTGACCTTCGGCGCGCTTCAGCGCATTCTCCGGCTTGGCGAACGTCGCCATGGCTGGCTCCTTGACGCAACCAAGCTAAGCGTCGTTCACGGTTCCAACAAATGCGAAGGTAAGGGAGATGAAGGCTAGAGCGCGATTCTCTCCCTAGGACACCTAACAGATCCTCCTGTGATGGAGATCAAAGAGGGAGTTCCTTGAGCCAGAAAGCTAGTCATGTGGGAAGTGGGTGTGAAGGTGTGGTGCGAGAATCCAGCTGAAAACGGGGGAGTACGAAACGGTTCTTTTACAAAACCGTTTGGCACCGATCCAAACCTTTCTGAAGGCTCATACATGGGCTGGAATGCCTTTTTATGAAGTGCAGAAAGAGAAGGGACAGGGAGACGTGAAGTTGGGAGGGAAGCAGGCCGAGCCAAGTTCACAAGTATGGATACAGATTCGACAGACCTGCCGAGCTGCCTGCTGTGTTACCAAGCCGTACAGCTTCGGTCTTGTGTTCCCGATGTTCCGAAGCAAGTTTCCCAGAGAATTTAGGCTCGTGCAACACAAGCTCGTTCGGCAAAACCAGAGCTTGGCTTTGGGCGTGCTGATGATTGTTGCCGTGAAGGGTGGTTATCCACGATGACTAATCTCCGATCCTACAAGATGATTCGGCAACACTTCACATTCCATTAAAAAGGATATTGTAGATTGGAGCAAAGTATATATGGGGTTGCAAACACGTATATCTGCTCTGCGCAACTGATTTTCATGAGCCAGTGTGTCAGAAAATCAGTTCCGCAGCCCAATAAACGACGAGTAACATAATGGTGCGAAGCAGATACCTTTCGCCAATTCGCCCACTTTGCCCAAACCTTTGAGATGCACAGACTAGCGTCAGAGGTTGGAGGGCTTCAACCCCTGATCTCAACCACAGCTGCTGCCTAGAATCTGTATCCACGGCTAAGATTCACTTCGTTCCTAGTGGCTGGAACCACAGCTTCAGATTCAAATCATTGGGCTTTGCCGCGTTCCAAACTGACACGATCACTCTGCGGCTCCAGATGGGAGGGCAATCGACGGTTCCTAGGTCATGGAGTCAAACGGTCACCAGCGAAATCCCGCAACTCCCGCCTTTGCCAACGGAATTTCGCCGAGGAAAATATAGTTCGATTCGCGTAGCCGCTGAGGTGAAATGAGAGGACAAGGAACAGCGTAAACTCGGAAGAAATTCTTTCCCTTTCCCTGCCCGGCATAATCACGTGCCACGCGGACGAATTTCAACCAGCCACCTAAGTGGACTCTCGAATCTCCCTGTCCTGGACACAATTTGAGCCTGACCGGACCAACCATTCGCAGCCGCCGTCACTGTTCGTCGAGACCCAACGCAGCCGTTAACCTGTAGACCAATGGGAACTGGCTAGGGTTGCCATGGCGAAACACGCAAAAGGTCAGAACCAACGGCTGCGATCTGAGTTACCAAAAGCGTTTCAGATAATCCAGTGATTCTGGACGGTAGATTCGAAGAGGCTTGTTGTGAGAGAAGGAGAGGAGGGGCAGTTGTGTGTGATCCCTTCGCCTGATTCCAACGTGACCGTCGTCTATCGCCTCATTCTCGCCTGAGCCTCGGATTTCACAACCGTTTCGGCTCCTGCTCTCATTTTTCTCTCACGCTGAGCTTCTTCTGCTCGTTTTCATCGAGCTGCCGCGTTTGCGGAAACCGATAGCGAAGCTTATTTTCAAAACAGGCTGGAGGCATTCTGCTTCATGCCTGGCTTCATTGTACTAGAAGCTTCGTATATGGGAAGAGAATAGTCGGGCGTGGGCGTCTTGAAGCCAGGAGACTCTGGCAATTTCTGCGATGGAAGAACAAGTGCGGAGATGGCGATAATAAAGAACGAGGTAATTTTGAATGCGTGTGCTCATTTTATCACGTATCCAAGTGTTATTTAGTGGTGTAATATGCTTTTGTTTCAGCAAACGCGAGATTGTTCAATGGCGCGTCTGACGTGACGTCTGCATGTTGGTTTGTACGTCGCAGGCTTGTTGCGAAGGCGACATGTCACTTGAACCACCAACGCCATCTGGCTGTCCGTGCGATTTGGGCAAGTACGTGCAATTTCGGCGAGTACATGCAATATTGGCGAGTGCGTGCGATTTCAGAATGGCTCGCGTCCTTCGTCTAGCAGCTCAGGTATTTCCGAAAGCCACACCCATGCACACAGTCAAGTTCGCAAATCGATTTCGCGGATGAGTATCCCGTATGTTTCGCGTCTCGTTGTCGCTTTTCCGTTTCGCTTTACAATCTTGAGGAACATCTTCACCGATCGCTTTCGCACATGGTTGTCGCGTTTCAGCTTCCCGTTTCAATTCCGCAATTAGATTCCGAATTTCAATTTCGCGATCTACTTTCGCCATCAATCTCGTAACGCGACCTACTTTTCTTACGCACGCTGTGGCCGCGTCTTTCCCTTTTCTCTCACTGCAGCTCTCCGTGCGCCACGTCGTTCCCATCCCCATCGGCGGCTGCCGCGCTGGTGGGTGCCTGAACCACTCTCGCGACCTGCGATTTCGGGCCCACTCTCTGCCGCCACATGCGGCGCTCTCTTCGTCTCCCACCCCAAGCTAAGTCCTCACCTCACGCTCTCACTGCATGTACGCCTGAGCTTGGCGCGGCTTTGCCCGGAACACGGACTGCCTTGAACGTGGACAGACTGAAACACAGACTACTTGGAACCTGGATTGATTGAAACTCAGACTGCCTGAAACACAGACTGTCGGAAACCTGGATTGACCTGCCTGAAGCCTGGATTGACTGAAACACAGACTGCCTGAAACCTGGATTGACTGAAACACAGACTGCCTGAAACCTGGATTGACTGAAACACAGACTGCCTGAAATCTGGATTGACTGAAACACAGTGCCTGAAACCTGGATTGACTGAAACACAGACTGCCTGAAACCTGGATTGACTGAAACACAGACTGCCTGAAACCTGGATTGACTGAAACACAGACTGCCTGAAATCTGGATTGACTGAAACACAGTGCCTGAAACCTGGATTGACTGAAACACAGACTGCCTGAAATTTGGATTGACTGAAACACAGACTGCCTGAAATCTGGATTGACTGAAACACAGACTGCCTGAAACCTGAATTGACTGAAACACAGACTGCCTGAAACCTGGACTGACTGAAACACAGACTGCCTGAAACACAGACTGCCTGAAACCTGAATCGACTGAAACACAGACTGCCTGAAACGTGTTCGACTGAAACTCAGACTGCCTGAAACCTGTTTGACTGAAACACAGACTGCCTGAAACCTGACTTGACTGAAACACAGACTGCCTGAAACCTGACTTGACTGAAACACAGACTGTCTGAAACCTGACTTGACTGACCTCACCCCTTCGCTTCTCTATCATGTAACTTCAAACCTCACTGCCACGTTCTTGCTTCTGCTGGTCTCTGACTCATACCCTCAACCCCTTGACCTGAACCCTGGCCCTCCCTTCTCCCGCCCTCCCTGGCCCTCCAGGCGTGCTCATGGCAAGTTGACGAGTGCTGGGTGGGCAGGCAGCAGAGCAGAGCAGCGCTATGTGACTGATTGCACGGGGGAGGGTTGGGGCAACGTTCAGGCGAGTCATTGAAATGATTGAAGGGTGAAAGTTAGAGTATGACCTCCTGCCGCCACACTCCACTAGAGCCACCCCCCTGGTCGAGGTTCAGGTTCAAATCAGGTTCAGGTGCCCCTTGAGGGGTTTTCTTTTTGGCTCCTGTGCTGCTGTGGTCGTGCATCTCCCCTTCGTACACGTGTTCTTTTGCATGGGATCGTTGCCTGCTGTCATGCACTCACTTGCTCTTTCCTCGCTTCCCTGGCAGGTTCGAGTGAGCACACCAACGCCAAGGCGCTTCTGCTCACAAGGCTGGCGACGGTGGTTTCAACAGCGGATGAGGAGAGGAGCAGAGGATCAGAGAAGCAGCCTCGACACCATCGAAGGTTGCAAGTATCACCCCAACCCTCCACGGTCCACAAGAGCCACCCCCCTGGTCAAGTTTAAGGTTCAGGTGCCCCTTCAGGTGTTTTTTTCTTTGGCTCCTGTGGTGCTGTGGCCGGTGCATATCGCGCTCGCACATGTTCCCGCCTTCTTCAAGCATGCTGCAGCATCTTTCTTTTCCATCTGCCATGCACTCACTGACTCCCTCTTCTTGTCGCCCGCAGGTTCTTTTGACGAATTCAACGCCAAGGCCCTTATGCTTGTGGGCGCCAGCAGCGGAGAAGAGGAGAGGAGGAGAACAGAAGCGGGGGAGAAGACGAGAAGACGAGAAGAGGAGCAGGAGAGAAGAGGAGCACCTTCGAATACATGGAAGGTTGCAAGTATCACCCCAGCCCTCCACGGTCCACAAGAGCCCCCCCCCCCAGTTCAGGTTCAAGTTCAGGTGCCCCTGAGGTGTTTTTCTTTTTGGCTCCTGTGGTCCTGTGATGCGCTCACCTTTTTGTTCTCACAGCACTTCGTTTTTATCTCGCATGGATCGCTGGCTGTTGTTCTGCACTCACTGACTCTCTCCTCGCTTCTCTGGCAGGTTCACTTGACTGTGTTGGCCGCTGCAGCAGGAGACGAGCAGCGGAGCAGAGGAGAGGAGCAGAGGAGCAGAAGACGAGAGCAGCCGAGGAGCAGAGGAGCATCTTCGAACACATGGAAGGTTGCAAGTATCACCCCAGCCCTCAACGGTCCACAAGAGCCCCCCCCCTGGTTAAGGTCAAGGTTGAGGTTCAGGTTTGGTACGGGACAGGTTCAGGTGCCCCTTAAGGTGTTTTACTGGTGCATGGCTCGAGTGGCGCTGTGGTGGGAACACATGCACACTTGCAGTGTTTTTTTTCGCACCACACTTGCACAGTTTTTTTCTGCATCGCTTACTATTTGCTGCTGCCACGCACTCACTCCTCCTCCCCCCCACGCGCCAAGGCACAATACTCAAGTCTCTGGGAGCGCTCCTGCTTGCCCATCTGTTGGCGGCTGGTGGGGGGTGAAGGCGCCCCACGCTCCACGTGGAGGGCTGCTGTGCTGTGCTGTGGCGCACAGGAGCAGAGCAGAGCGGCTCCCAACCCTGTGGAATGAAGGCCAAGGCCCTTCACCAGCCACCGCGCTTCAAGGGAGCACCACGCCTGCACCACCCTGCCACCCGTGAACTCGGCATCGCCTGTTGAGGCGCCTCACTCGCCCCACACACAGATAAGTCTCCTCAGCTTGATCCTCTCTCTGCCTGTTTCTCTCCGCATGTATGTTTCTCATTCGCCATCCCCATTCGCACATCCCCATTCGCCACCCTCATTCACGAGAGCATCTCGTCCTTGCCATGTGCAAGCCACCTCTCCACGGAGCCTCCCCCCTCGGTAAAGGTTCAGGTCAGGTACGGTTGGTTCAGGTTAGGTACGGTTGTTTCAGGTTAGGTACGGTTGTTTCAGGTAGAAGCTGGTATGAGGTACAAGGTCTGGTACTTGGCTCTTGTGGAGGGCGTGGCGAGCACTGCACTGCACCATGCCGCATCTCGCACCATCCCCTGCACTGCTCACAGCATTCCCACTACCCATGCATGCTCACACAGAAAGTTTGGCTAATGAGTTTCTGCATACTCCCTTGTCTCGTGCTCCTTCCCCCTTACCTGCCAGGCGCTCCTCCTTTGCGCTCCTGCTTGCCCATCTGGCAGCGGCAGCACCTGTGGTGGGCGGCTGGTGAGGGGTGAAGGCGCCTCACCGTCTACCTGGAGGCGTGCTGTGCTGTGCTGCGCTGTGGCGCACACGAGCAGCTCCCAACCCAGTGAAGGGTCAAGGTTGAAACTATCCCTTCCCACCTCCACACACCACAAGAGTCCCCCTTCTCCAGTTCGGTACAGGTTGAGGTTTGGTACAGGTAGGTTCGGTGCAGGTAGGTTTGGTACAGGAAGGTTTGGTACAGGTTAAAGTTTGGTTCAGGTGAAGGTGGCCCTTGAAGGTACTTTTCTGGATGTGAGCTCTTGTGGTGCACCTTGCACGCTCACCACTCACTCCCCACACCACGCTCTTGTGGTGCACCTTGCACCGCTATCACTTGATTCTCCTTACAGCCATGGCTGCCTTGCACTCACTCTCTTTATTTCTCTGCCTCTCCCCTTTACTGGCAGGTACTATTTCGGAGCCCCGTCGCTTGCCAACACTCGAAGCAGCAACAAGGCGGAAGACAACACCAAAAGCCTCTCTGCACGCCTGCAAGCGAGTGCCAAGGCCTGCAGCGCCCGTGCACGCGCCATCAACAGATAAGCTCAGCGCCTTTGGGTTCTCACCCGCTCGTTTTCTGCATTTGCAGCCCCATCCGCCCTGCTGCCATGCCATGCCGCCATGCCACACCTTGCCATGTCATTCCCGCCCCCGCTTGCTGGCGTGCCAGCCACCCCTCCATGGAGCCTCTCTCCCAAGTTGAGGTCAGGTATCGGTTCAGGTTCAGGTGAAGGTGAAGGCGAAGGTGAAGGTTCAGGTGAAGGTGAAGGTGAAGGTGAAGGTGAAGGTGAAGGTGAAGGTTTAGGTGAGAGGTGGAGGTACAAGGTAGGTCGAGGTATGAGGTGTGGTACTTGGCTCCTGTGGAGGACGTGCTGGCACTGCAGCTTGTCCCATCTCATGCCATCCCATGCTCTCACCATGCCCCGTGTCATGCCATCCCATGCTCTCACCATCACCCACTGCACATGCACGGATTCTGCCCCTTACGTCCTCCACATTGGCCCTTCACTCACTTCCACTCGCTTCCCTCTTCCCTCCCGTCTACCCTTTCCTGCCCCAACCCTTGACTGCCAGGATCTCTGCTTCAACCCTGTCCTTCAGCCCAGGCCTCAGCAGCAAGGGTCAGGAGCAAGGCGCAGCAGCAATGCTCCCTCAATGCTCCACACAAAGATAAGCCCACGCCCTTGGTTTCATACCCACTCTGTTTCAAACTCTTTTTTTATCGCTAAAGTTTCCAGCAGTGTCCTCCCCCCCCTCCTCCCTCCCACTCACTGTCATGCCAACCGCCCCTCCACGGAGTCATCCCCCATGGTGAAGGTTCAGGTTTTTTACAGGTGGAGGTTCAGGTTATGGTTAGGTTATGAAGGTTTGGTACTTGGCTCCTGTGGAGGGAGGGTTGGCGCTGCACCATGCATGCTGCGTATCAGCCATCCCATGCTCTCAACATTGGTCTCTGCACATGCACGCATTCCGCCCCTTGTGTCCTCCATTCCTTCCCTTCACTCATTCCCGCTCCCTCCCCGCTTCCCTCCCCCCCTGTCCTCCCTCTATCCCCCCCTGACTGCCAGGCTCTCTGCTCCAAGCCTGTTCTCGCGTCCAAGTCTCAGTAGCAAGGACTGGGAGCAAGACACTCAACGCTCCACACAAAGATAAGCCCACGCCCTTGGTTTCATACCCGCCACATCTCTGTTTCAGCTCAAGCTCTCATTTAAGACCACATCCCAACATTCGCTGCTCTGCCATTCCCCCCATGCACCTTCCTCCTCGCTTTTATGCCAACCATCCCTCCAGCCTCTCCCCTTGGTGAAGGTACAGGTTTCTTTCCAGGTATAGTGGTTCTGGTTATGGTGCAGGTGGGAAGGTGAAGGTATGGTACTTGGCTCCTGTGGAGGGCGTGGAGGGTACTGCACCATGCGGCATGCCTCATCTCATGCCATCCCATGCTCTCACCATCACCCACCCACCATCTTATGCATTCCACCGCGTGTGTCCTCCATACCTTCCCTTCACTCATTCCCGCTCGCACCCCTCTTCCCTCCGCCTGTCCTCCCCATATCCCCCCCCTGACTGTCAGGATCTCTGCTCCAACCCTCTTCTAAGGAGTCTCAGAAGGAAGGCGCAGGAGGAAGGCCAACAAGGCACCCTCAACGCTCCACACAAAGATAAGTCCACACCCTTGGGTTGGGTCTATATCATAACCACTCCGTGACACCCTTGTGCATGCTCTGTCATTCCCCATCTGCCCTCCTCCTAGCTGTCATGCCAACCACCCCTCCACAGAGCCTCTCCCCTTGGTGAGGTTCAGGTTATGGATCAGGTGAAAGGTGAAGGTTTGGTATTTGGCTCCTGTGGAGGGAGTGTTGCCGCTGCACCATGCCCCATGTGACCATCTCATGCCTGGTTATACTCTCACCATCACCCACTGCACATGCACGCTATCAACCCCTTGTGTCTCCATACATTCCCTTCACTCATTCCCACTCCCTCCCCTCTTCCGCCCCTCCCGGTCCTCCCCCTATCCCCCCCTGACTGTCAAGCACTCTGCTCTGCTCCAAGCCTGTCCTGACCTCCGACTCTCAGCAGCAGGCGCGGGAGCAAGGCGCAGCAACGCACCCTCAATGCTCCACATAAAGATAAGCCCTCACCCCTGGTTTCATACCCGCTCCATTTCTGTTTCACCTCAAGCTCTTCTGTGAGCCCACATCCCGGCATTCCCTGCACCGCCATAACCCCCCCATGCGCCTTCCTCCTTGCTGTCATGCCAACCACCCCTCCACAGAGCCTCCCCCCTTGGTTAAGGTGAAGGTTTTTTTTCAGGTAGAGGTTCAGGTTATGGTTCAGGTGTAAGGTGAAGGTTTGGTACTTGGCTCCTGTGGAGGGAGTGTTGTCACTGCACCATGCCACATCGCATGCCATCCTATGCTCTCTCCAAGCTCACTACACACACACCGCCATGCCGTACACCCACTGTGTTTCACCCGCCACCCACACTCCACCTGAATCCTCCCCATGCACTCACTCCACCTGAATCCTCCCCATGCACTCACTCCACCTGAATCCTCCCCATGCACTCACTCCACCTGAATCCTCCCCATGCACTCACTCCACCTGAATCCTCCCCATGCACTCACTCCCTTCTCATCCCGCCCTCGCCTGCTTCCCTGGAAAATGGAGGGTGTCAATGTCAACCCCTATCCTTCCTCACGCCCCTCCTCGGTGGCCGTGCAGAGGGGATGGGATGGGAGGCAGCAGTGCAGCAGACTTGAATCGCTGCCACAAGGGAGAGTATGGGGGTGGGCTTGGCCTCTCAAGGTACGCCAGCTCCCTCCGCTTCGTCCCTCCCTCCCTCGAGTTCTCAATTTGCTGCTGCTGTCTTTGTTTTTTCTCCATTCTTGTTTCTGTCAGCTTGAGTGTCTTATCTGCGTCTGCCAAACTACCAACTTCTCCTGCCCTTCCTCCATCTGCTGCCCCTCCTTCCCCCTCTCTTGCCCTCCCGGTACCAGGTCACTTGGCATCAAGGGAAGAGTGCAGCAGAGGAAGATGAGCAGCAGACGGGCAGCAGCAGTTGTAGCAGAAGCAGCGGCAGCAGCAGCAGCAGCAGTGGGGGGTGTGGGGCTAGAGAGGAGGCTAGGCTAGGTAAAAGGTGTGGTATGGTACCAGGTGAAGTATGGTGATCTGATCCTCTCCCCTCTCTTGCTCCCTCTTTCCTTTTCTGCAGCCTGAGAGTGTGATCACTGGAGCAAGGGCGGAGAGTGGAGTCCACCCTCTCACTCACCTCCTCCTCTCTCCCTTTTCCCTTCTCTCCCAGCAGCAACCTGCTTGGATCACAGTGGAGCCCTGCCCTCTGTTAATCCCCCCACCCTCACTCCCCACTACCCAGCAGCCTCAGGTATCATGGCGCCCTGCTCGGCTGCGGTAAGTAGAGGTAAGTAGAGGTAAGGAGGCATGGCGTGAAGGGAGGGCGGGGGTGGGTGGTGGGAAGCATGGGAGCAAGCGGGCAGTTCACTTCCTTAGGGGCAGCACCCTCTGGGGTTGTGGCTTGTGGGTCGGGGTGTGGTGGGTGGAATTTGTGCGGTACGGCACTCGGTGCTCAAGTAACCAATCTGGCGTTTAAGGCTTAATGGACACTGTCAGAGCCGACCGGCCAGCGGCTCTGGTTCGCGTCCGCTCTAGCTACGTCAGGGGTGGAATTTGAGTCTTGGGCTGGAAGCGATTTTTCACTACCACACTTCGCCCCACAAGGCAGAGCCACTGGGGTTGCTGTTTCCAAAAGGGAGTGGGCTGTCTACTACTCCTACTGCTGGCAGGTAAAGGTGGGGAGGGGCAAGGGGTGGTGGGGGATTGGGGATGGTGAGGGTGGAGATGGTACAGTGTAACATAGTATGGTGTGACATAGTATGGTGTGACATAGTGTGGTGTGACATAGTATGGTGTGACATAGTATGGTGTGACATAGTATGGTGTGAGCATAGTCTGGTTTGACATAGTATGGTGTGGCATAATGTGTCATGTGACAGTGTAGAATGTTATTGTGTGGACAATTGACAGGCATGATACATTGTGGTATGTTGCTGTATGATATAGTAAGGAGTGGTGTGCAATGGTGTGGAGTGATACAGTATGATTTGTTTTTTTTTTTGTATGTGACAGTGTAGTGTGATGTGGTATGAAGTGTTATGGTTTGCTGGACTGCGGTATGGTACGGTATGGTATGAATCTTGTGTGGTGTGGTATCAGCGTGGTATGATTGAGTGGGTGTGACACACCTTTCTTTCATAGTGTGACATAGTTTGGTGCGTTATGGTGTGAAATTGTGTGACTGATGTGAACGAGTATGGTGTGGCCGTTTGTCATGGTGTGGCGTGTCATGATGTGGCATGACATGGCATGGTGTGACATGCCATGGGTGACATGGCATGATGAGGTATGTCACTGTGTGGTATGTCGTGGTGTGGCGTGTCATGATGTGGCATGGCATAGTGTGGCATGGCATGTGTGGCATTGGATGGTGTGGCATGGCATGTGTAGCATTGCATGGTGTGGCATGCCATTGTGTGGCATGTCATTGCGTGACATGGCATGGTGTGACATAGCATGGTGTGACATGACATGGTATGGCATGGCATGGTGTGGCATGCCATCATGCGATTCGCAGGCTGGCTGCCTGGGAAGTGGAGCACCATGGAAGGCAAGGAGGAAAGTGTGCGGGAAAAAGGATGGAAGAGGGGTGGAGGAGTGAAGGTATGTGGCAAGCATGGCTGCCTTAGCTGCCTTGCCATGCCACGGAACTGCCACATGCCATGTCATGGAGAGCAGGGCAGGTGCAAGGTGCGCAGCAGCGGTTATTTGTTTGATTCTTTGCTGCTGGTGGCAGGATGCTGATATCGTCATAAACAACTGACTAGAGCCAGCTGCTGGATAAACATTGTTCACCATGTCCGCACATTATACCTTGTTTGAATCGTTCAAATTGGTGTTTGTTTATGTATACCATGAACAGAGCTGATGCGCTCATGATGCCGAAGTGCACACTGGCACTCGTTTCAGAGCTTGACATTAGAGTGTGGCCCTAATGTTGCCCTGGCCAATAAAAATCACCACTCGTTCTCGTGGCCAGGAACGCTCAGTTTAGTGTTGCAACGCCATCCATTTCAACTCAATGAGTAAAACCGTTTTACACGACGGAAGAAGAATTGTTCGATTGGCGAAATGCAGATCCATGAACCCCTCTCTCCCCCCTCCCCCCCCCCCCCCCCCCCCCCCCCCATTTTTTTTCAAAAGTAATGACTTCCACCATACCAAATATGTACGGCCATCGTAAACACAGGGATTTACTCTCGGGTACTATGGTATCCATTAGGGCGTGTAAAATTGTAACGACCAAACGCTCTGGTCGATCATTTGGGCGTTGCTGGCGAGTGCGAAATATGTAACACTTAAGCAAACCCCTCCAAAAAGGGAGGTGGCGGGAGTTGTTCGACTCTGCCATGGTGGCGGCGCGGCCAGCAGTTCGCCCACTTTCCTACACTTGCTCTGACCAGCACCCGGATGCCATCCGTCTGTCACGGTGCCGATCTCGGTGCAAAGTGGGGGAGTGGAGCCGTGGATTGGCCTGCCTTACAGCAAGGGAGTTGGCTCGACCTTCTGAGGCCATGGTGCAGTCGCTGCAAGAGAAGCACCCAGCTAGCACTAGCGAGGTACCACAGTGGGTCCGCGATTTCACCGTCGATACTGCTCAGCGGCCTTCACTCACGACCGACATCCCGGCCAGAGCTATCCATACAGTCGCTCGAGCTTCGGCAGCAGGGCCATCGGGGTGGGTCACAGAGCATCTGCGTGACACCTTCCTCACTGAACCTTCCTGCCTTTCCCACCTGTTGGAAGTGTTCAACCAATGGGTGGCGGGACAGGTCCCTGAGCGCCGCATCCAACCTAGTCGGGCTTTCCAAGCCTAACGGCGACGTCCAGCCGGTGGCGATTGGGGAGGTGCTTCCTCGTATCCGTGCTCGAGCTCTCTGCATCTCGCTCCGCCCTGCGATGGTTTCCTACTTCCTGCCGTGCAACCAGATGGGAGCGGGCACCAGGGTCGGGGTGGAGATTCTCACTCATTCTTTCCGGTCCGCGCTGGCCACTCACCCCGACTGGTGTGCGCTACAGATAGATGTCGCAAATGCCTTGAATTCGTTTCACCGTCATGTGATGTTCAATGGGCTGCGGGAGTCGCCTTTCTCAGGGATGATCCCATTCTTGCGTGTTTTCTATGGGACACCTAGCGACTTGTACCTCCGAGCAGGCCCTTTCGTACAGAGCCTCGAGTCGGCACGGGGATTGAGGTAGGGGGACCCGCTCGGCCCTTTTCTTTTCGCGTTCACGCAGCAGCAGGTGATGGAGCCGGTTACTAGGGAGTTCAAGGACCTGCTTTTCCTCAGCTATGCAGACGATACCTATATTTTGGGGCCAGCGGCTAGGATTCTGGAGGCTTTTGGGGTGCTGCGGAAGCGGTTAGAATGGGTGGGGCTGGAGGTGTAGGCGCACAAGTGCCAATTTTGGGAGTGCGAGGGCAGGGAGGTGGAGCGGGCACTGCCATTGGGGATGCAGTGGGTGGATGAGGGTCTAACTGTGGTGGGCGTGCCTATTGGGGAGGAGGTTTGGGAGGTGGTCCGGCTACGGGAGCGGCTTCGACAGTTGCAGGCGCCACTGCCATGGCTCCCCTTGCTCGACCACCCCCAGATGGCTTCACACCTCCGCGCCATTGCAGTTTCAGCGCGGCCGATGTACTTAGCCCGGACTATGCCGCCGTGTCCGGAGGTGGTTGAGGCTTTTAGGGATTGGGACACCTGTTTAGAGGATTGTTTTGAGTAGCTTTTCCCACCTGGCACTTGGGAGCAGGACCCCGACCGGTCTAGGCACGCACGCATGCAACTGCATCTCCCTGTGCGACTCGGAGGGTTCGGGATCCGCGCGGCGGCCTCTTTGAGCCCACTGTCCTATGTTTGTGAGTAGGCGCAGGCCGCGCGTGACATTGTACAATTAGGGGTGGCGGGCGAGGAGGCGATGTTTGCAGAGTACCTCACCACTTCGACAGGGGCAGAGTTTCTTGACCCGTGGTTTGTCAAGGCTCTTGAGCAGCTGCCAGCGACTATCCGCCAGGAGATACCGGGCTTACCTCTGTGTGTAGCGGCCCCTCCCGTTTGGCTTTTCCAGACACGGAAGCGGCAGTTAGCTGTAGAGGAGCTCCAGGCACTGCGCCGCTTGGCTCGTGACGATGCTACCTTGGCCCGTCTCACATCACTTCAGGGCCAGGGGGCGAGTGCATGGGTTTCGGCGGTTCCGGCTCACTCAGATCTCACATTCACTGCGGCTGAGTGGGGCATTGCTGCTGCTATACGGCTCGGGCTCCCAATTCAGCAGCTGCAGGTGGCGGGGAGGTGTGTTTGTGGCACAGCGTATGTTGACCCAGCAGACCCGCACCATGCCCTGAGATGCAAGCACCAGCATGGTCCATCTTGGGTGCATGATGAGGTGAAGTTTGCGGTGGCGAAGATCTCTAAGGCGTCGAGGGGGGGGGGGGGGTGACAATGGAGGATAGTGTGGTGCTGCAGGGGAAGCGGGTTGATGTGGCGGTGCGACGACCAATGGCTGGAGAGGCTCACGCCCTAGAGATCAGCGTCGCGGACCCGCTATCGCTGTCTCCATCCCTGCTAGGACAGTGCGGGCGTCAAATCGGTGTGGCGGCAAGAGAGTGGGAGCGTCGCAAAACGAGTGATTACGCGCCTCTGCTTGCACGCAACCGGGGCGTCCAGTTCACCCCTCTGATAGTAGAGACGTGGGGGTGTCTCGGCGGTCGTTTTCGGCGGTGGCTTCGTCAGCAGGGGGATGCGCACGTGGGGCTAGCTGTGTCGCGGGGGGCTTGTCTGGGGGAAGACTCTGTGTTTTCGGCTTATCTTTTAGGGTCATTGAAGGCGCTCATCGGGGTGGCGTTACAACGTGTGCAAGCCTGTGTTATCCTGTTTCGAGCGGCGTCTTCCATGGGGGGGATTAACGTAAATTTGGTGGACCGGGAGTGGGACGATGTTGATGTGGAGGGCGGGGCTCTCTGGGTGGAGGCCCCGTACATGGTCGATACGCTGTTGTGATTGGGGGGGGGGGGGGGGGGGGGGGGGAAGGGGAATGGGGTGTGGGATGGGATGTCTTGATGGGGTGTCTTGACTGGGCCTTTTGATTCGGTATCTTGAGGGGGGGTTTTAGGTGTGTTGCATTTGGATTCTTTTTGGAAGTTTCACTTTCCTTCACCCTTTCTTTCCATTTCCTTTCTCTTTCATTTATGTATTTCTTTCCCTTTGTTACGGGTGCAATGGATCGAGGTAGCGAGGATTGCACTAAGGTGTCAAACGAGTACAAAATGTGAGCGAAGGCATG